TCATATTTAGCTTGTGGTCCACTATAACCCCTAGATCCCTTTCTGCCGTACTCCTTCCTAGACAGTCACTCCGGGCTAGAGATCAGGGTTGCATTATTCCCTCTGGGATTGGAGGCCCCGGGCAGGGCTGCCCAGAGGATTCAGGGGGCCTGGGGCAAAGCACTTTTGGGGCCCCTTCCATAAAAAAAGTTGCAATACTATAGAATACTATATTCTCGTGGGGGCCCCTGTAGGGCCTGGGGCAAATTGCCCCACGTGCCCCCCCGGGCGGCCCTGGCCCTGGGGGTCCAGAGCGAGTGGACTCCCTGAGGGGGCCCACGGGAAGAGACAGACATGCTAAGCTTCAGAGAGGTGCGGTTCCAGGAAGTGGAGGGGCCTAACCCCGAGAGAGAGTGGACCCCCGAGAAGGGCTGTCACGCTGAAGGGTATTCCCCACAAGGGACCATATGGGGCCAAGAGTGGGCACGATCTGTGAGTCTGTGACAGCCAGCGCTCGCTTGCTGTTTCTGCTTCTGCCAGTGAAACAGCATAAATCTGATTCCCCGGCAGTGACCCATCTCCCCCAGGTGTGACACACTCTCCTGGCACCAGGGCTGGGGGCTGCCCAGAGGGGCTGGTTTAATGATCTGTGTTTATTACAAATCTGGAGGTTAACAGGATGCAAAATAACATCAAAGCTGCCTTGATGCGTCCCCTCCCGCTCCCGGTGCTGAGCCCCCTGACCCCCCGCATTTGGGTCTGGGTGGGGCAGGGGGACGCAGCTCGATGGGACGGGGCTGCAGTGGGGGTGGCAGCATCCTCCCTAAATCTTCCCTAGAAGCAGAGTTCTCTGGGGCTGGTGCTGTAGGGGGGTGAGTCTGTTGCCCCCTGGGGGCTGATGCCCCATGGCTGCGGGGGGTCTCATTACGGGGTTCCCCGGCTCATGTTGATCACGCCGTATACACTGGGCTGCAGCGTCTGGAGGTCCAGCTCCGCGTAGGTGTCGGGGTCCGGCTCCTGGGGTGGGAGGGGAGAGAGAGGTAGGTAGGGGTGTGTGTGTGTGTGTGTGTGTGCACACACACAGAGCAGGGCCCATCCCCTCAGCAGGGAGCGACAGGGAAACACACACACACACACCCTGCAATCCCAGCAGGCAATTCCATAAGCCCACCCCCATCCCAGCGGCCTCATCCCCACCCCAAACCACTGAGTGTGCCAAGAAAGGCGAGGGGGGGCTATGAGCGGGCTGCTGGGCTCATGAGGGTCAAGGTTGGGGTCAGGCCCCATGGGGGAACAGGGGACACTTACCAGGGTCTGCATCTCTTTCCCTTCATCGATGGAGGCATCTGCGGAACAGAGACACCCGCTGAGCTGCACCCCCGGCCAGCCCAGAGCAGAACCCCACACCCAGCTCTGACCCCTTCATCTAGCCAGGGGGCTCAGAGCCTGGCACAGCCACCCCCTCCGCCCCACAGCACAGGCCAGGGTCATTAGCCTCGTGTTACAGAGAGGAAAACTGAGGCACAGAGACGGCGGCAGAGTCTAGGGGGTTACGGCGGGGCAGGGGGGCTCAGAGCCAGGACTCCAGGGTTCTCTCCCTGGTCTGGGAGGGATGTGGGGTCTAGTGGTTAGAGCAGGGGGCTGGGAGCCGGGAGTGGATGGGCATTCTCTGCAGGTAACTGGCTGGGAAGGTCTGATGGAGAAGTGAAGGGGGGGACACAAAAGTGCCAGGCCTGGGATGGGAGCATGGGTGGCCCACAGAGGGAGACCCTGAAATAGAGGGGGAGGGGAGCCCCCAAATGCCCCTCCCTTCCACAGGTGTCCTGTCCCACCCTTGGGTGTGTTACTCACAGACGGGGTCTTCCTGAGCTGGAGACTTCAACACCCTCAAACGGCTGGCAATAAAAGAGAGAAAATCCCTTTGTAAATCACATAGCCCCCCACCCGCAGGGAAATTCCACAACACACCCAGAGAGCCCCCCATTCTGAACTCTGTTCCCTAACCCCCCCCCCAGGCCCCACTTCCCTCCCAGACCAGGGAGAGAACCCAGGAGTCCTGGCTCCCAGTCACCCTGCTATAATGACTAGACCCCACTCCCCTCCCCAAACCGGGGACAGAACCCAGGAGCCCTGTGACCCCGGCAGGTCCATCGGGAGGGGGAGGAGCCAGGTTCCTACCTGCTCGGTCTGGGTGCGGTTCCTTTTCCTGCAGAGGGACACAAACCAGAATCCTCCATGAGCCGATCGGGATCCCCCGGTCCCAGCGCCCGGCCACTCACCCCCACAGGGCAGCAGGGATGGGGGTATTGGGGGGTCCCCTCTACTGCTGGTGCTGAGCTTGGATCCCTGCTGGGGTGGGTCAGACCAGCAGGGGGCAGCACAACACCACAGCATGCACCGGGGGATGGGGCAGATTAACTCCGGGGGTTTTTCCTGTCCCCAATCTTCCCTCGTTAGTGACTCATTATAACGAATTTGATCCACAGACAGGTGGTTCCCCTGGCACCCAGGGACACCTCACTCAGTGCTGAGATACGGCCACCTCTGGGGTGGGACAGCTGTGTGTACAGGGATTACACATGCAACAGCGCCCTCTGCTGAGTCCCCCTGCTCCTTACCCGCACAGTCCCCCATCCAAGCCGTGACCCCATCCCGCCCTGCTTAGCAGCAGGTTTAACCCTTCCCTCGCTGGGTGGGGCACTTACTGGCTCGTTTTTTTCTGAAGCAGATGAAGGCAATGAAGAGGAGGAGGAGGAAGAGGAGGACGATGGCTGCTGTGATCACCACGGTGATGAAGGCAACTGGGAAACAGCAGAGCCGTGAGTGCCGGGAGCGGCAGGTCTGTTCCCTCCCCAGCCCCTCCCACCTCAGGCGGCGCCCAAGGATCTGGGACACTGCAGGGCAGAGGCAGCAGAAAATTCTGTGGGGAGGATGTTGGGGGGCCCAGGGGAATCAAGTGGGGTTAGAGCCAGCAAGATTTGGGTGATTTAGATGCTAGGGGGCGCTGGGCTGCAGGGGTCCCAGTAGGGGGCGCTCTCCCCTGGCAGTCAGGCCTGGCCCCAACGCCCCAGCGTGGCACAAGGGGGTGCTGTCTGAGTAATCATTTACCCTCCCCCACCCACTGCCACCCCTCACAGTACCATGGCACCAGCCAGGCCTGGCCACACCAGCTGAAGCCAACGGGCCCATCTAGCCCGGCATCCCGCCTCCCATGCTGGCTGCTCCTGGCTGCTTCTCAGGGAGCTCCAGAACAGCCCCCCGCCAGGGCCACTGATGGTCCCAGCTCCCCCAGAGGAAGCCCCCGGCTGCCCTGTTAACATCCGGTTTGTGTCTGAGAAGGTTCGTGTCCATTGGCGAGGGGGGTCACTGTCGCTGAGAACAGCCTCCATCCCTCCTCCTGGACAACCACTGGGAGAAGCTGCCCCATAATCTGTGACTCAAGAGATTCTCCCCCGTACCTGGCCCCACACTGACCAGGCGGTTGGGAGTTGGCACTGCTCCAGGCAAGGTCGGGTCGGTTGCCCCGGGCAGGGGTTTGGGGTACAGGCTGCCCCAGGGCTGCAGTGGGGAGAGAGGACTCCCCCCAGCCCTTTCTGGCTGCAGCAGCCTGGGGCTGGGGGAGAGGTGCGTCTCCCTGGCCATGGCAGCTTAGCGGGAACTTAGGGGCAGGGATCCCCCCTCCCTCGGCTGATGCAGCGGCTGATGCTCCCGCACAGGTGAGGACCCCCCCAGTGACTCCGTCCCCTCTCCCCAGCCGAGCATCCCCTCTGCTGGGCCCAGGGCTCTGGGAAGTGCCTGGTTCTGAGCGTTCCATTGGCCAAGGGTTCGGCTGGGTGTGGGGCTGGGAGTGGGGACACCGAGCCGGGCCCCTCACCTGCTACCACCAGCTGCACGGGGTCACTGGGCTGCGAGGAGATGAAGGGCTCTGATTGGGGCTGGTAACTGCAGCTGTAGCTCCCTCAGGGTCTGGCCCTGGGTCTGGTCCCCAAAATGGCCTCTGCTGAAAGTCACTGATTTCTGTGCTTACAAGCTCTGTTCTACGCTGTGTTCCTGTCGACTAATAAACCACCTGTTTTACAACGCTGGCTGAGAGTCATTGCTGGCTGCGGAGTGGGGGTGCAGGGCCCTCTGGTCCCGTCCAGGTGGACCCGCCAAGGGGAAGTGCACGGTGTGACCAGGGATGCTGAATGCTCCGAGGTCAGACCAGGAAGGCTGTAGCCCAGGATGCTTTTTGCCCTGGACAGCGTGCCCTTAGGGGAGTTGCACCACCCTACAGTCTTGGCTGGCTGCAAACAGAGCAGTTCCAGAGCATCAGCCCTGTGACTACTGGTGGCAGGGGTGTGATCCACTGCAGCCCCTGGACGGAGCATCCCGCAGTAAGGGAGTGGGGAGCAGTAGAAGGAAGGCGGATTAGTGAGAGACAGGCGTGTTGAAGGCTCAGAGATGTTCTGTTCCTGGAGGCAGAGGAGCCTATGGCTTAACCTCTGAGAGAGATTGTGATCCCCGAGAAGGGCTGTCGCACTGAAGTGGTTCCTCCCAGGGATCATGGGGAGCTGAGAGAGCACAGGCCTGTGAGTCCGTGACCACTTGGGAACAGCGCGGAGATGGCCTGTAACTGTAGATCAATCTCTGATAATTTTCATATGACTTTACATTGTGCCTCTTCATATAACCTTGTGGTGGGTCTACCCACGTGTGACCTCTGTTTTCATGGAACTTTGTATCAAGGCCTCATTTAGAAACTTTGCATTGCCCTTGGTATAATATTATAGCCCCTATGGATAGAATAAGATAGAAGAAACATTTCTTTTTGCTACCCTGTTTCCCCGAAAATAAGACATCC